TTGTGGCCGTTAAATACATCAAACTTCCCATTATTTGCTTGTAAAGAGTGTTGTCAACTCTTCTTCCTCCAGGTTCTTTAGTGAGCTTCGAACCAAACTTAGTGGGACTGCTGGCAAAGTTGCAACTCTTCATCTGAAACCGACCCAAAATCTCTTGAGCATACTTCTTTTGTGTGATGAAAATACCATCAGTAGATTGAACAACTTCAATGCCAAGAAATTAATGCATCATTCCAATATCCATCATATCAAATTCCACCATCATAAACTTCTTAAAACCTTCAACCATGGAGATGTCATTTTCGATGTAAATTAAATCATCCACATATAAACAAACAATGAGCATTTTTCCTTTATCATCATTCTTTGTAAAGAGTGTGTGCTTATATGGACATTTCTTAAATCCCTCCTTAGAAAAATAAGCATTTATACGACTATACCAAGCTCGTGGAGCTTGTTTAGTCCATACAATGTCTTCTTTAATTTACACACCTCATGTTCTTCTCTAACCTTGACATAACCAGGAGGTTGATCAACAAATACTTGTTCATCCAAGTCCCCATGTAAGAAGGCCAATTTGACGTCCATTTGAAAAATGGGCCATGAGTGTTGAGCAGCCAAAGCTATCACTAGTCTGATAGTATCAAGGCATGCTACTGGAGCAAAAACTTCTCTGTAATCTACACCGAACTCTTGTTTATAGCCTTTAGCTACTAAGCGTGCTTTGTGTCGCTCGACTTCACCTTTCTTGTTCATCTTTTTCTTGTATATCCACTTGACACCAATTGTCTTATGCCCTTTTGAAAGCTCAGTCAACTCCCAAGTGTCATTTCTAGCAATTGTTGCCATCTCTTCATCCATTGTCTTTCGCCATTTTGGATCTTTAACATCTTTTTCAAAGCTGGTAGGATCACAATTTGAAAATAACGCAAAATGGATAAGTGGATCTTTAGATTGATCAATTCCAGTTACCTCAAAATCAGTCATTCATACAGGTCTTCTTTTTGATAGTTGAGGACGCTCTTCTTCTTGTATAGAAGCTGAAATGGGTGACTCAATTGGATTTGTATTTGTCAGCTTTTCTGTTTCCTCCAGTTGTTGTTGTATTTCCTCTTCAAAGGCTACTGGAAGGAGCTGCTGATCCATTTCGTCCTTCCATGACCAGGTAGCATCTTCATCAAAAATTGCATCACGACTAATGATGATCTTCTTGGTGTTAGGATTATATAACTTATAAGTTTTAGATTGATTACTAGCACCAAGAAAAATGCATTTTTCTCCTTTATCGTCTAGTTTGATCCTCTTCTGATTTGGAGCATGTGCATAAGACACACATCCAAAGATTCGAAGATGGTCAACATTAGGTTTCTGCCTGCTCCATGCCTCCTCTGGAGTCATATTTTGAACAGAGAAAGTTGGACTTCTCTTTAAAATATGAATGCTCCAATCAACATCTTCCGGCCAAAAACCTTTTCAGACACCACTCTTAGTTAAGATGTTGCGCACCATGTTGAGGATTGTACGGTTCTTCCGCTCACAAACACCATTTGTTGAGGTGTGTAAGCTGTTGTAAGTTGTCTCTTGATTTCATTTTCCTCACAAAAATTTATAAATTCTTGAGAATTTAACTCTCCTCCACGATCAGTGCGTAAATCTTTCAATGGACTACCCGTTTCTTTCTCGACAAGTACTTTAAAACGTTTAAAAACATCAAAAGCTGCACACTTTTCGTGTAAAAGATACACCTATATTTTTTGACTGAAGTCATCAATAAAGGTTATGAAGTACTTTTTACCGCCATTGGAATTTGGATTTATTGGTCCATAGAGATCTGAGTGCACTAATTCCAGCAATGCCTTTGCTCTCCAAGATTTGCCTTGTGAAAATGGACAACGAGGTTGTTTTCTAACAACACAATTTTCCGAAGGGGCTATAATTTGAGGAAGACCTTTCACCATGTTCTTTTGATGTAGCGTTCTCAATCCGTTAAAATTCAAGTGTCCATAACGGAAATGCCATAACCATGTTGTATCCTTTAATTTGGCAAAGAAACATGTATGATGAATATTGTATAGATAGAGAGGGAACATTCTGTTTCTAGTCATTTTAACTTGAGCAATTAATCCAAGTTTGGCATCTTGAATTCTACAAAAATCCATCTTTTATAGAAATTTCATATCCCTTCTCTTGCAATTGGCCAATACTCAGAAGATTGGTCTTCAAATTTGGAACAAAAAGAACATCAACAATTGTCTGGGAGTAGTCTATATTGGTCTGAATTAAAACCTGCCTTTTTCCCATAGCCGCGACTTTGGAGTTGTTCCCGAACTTCACGCTATGTCGAAAAGATTCATCCAAGGTGGAGAAAACTGACTAATCTCCACTCATATGATTGTTGCATCCGGAGTCAAGGTACCATAAATTCTTATTTGTTTCCTCTTTCATGTGGAAAACCATCAACAAAGATATCTCTTCTTCTTCTTATTCTGCAAAATTAGATTCTTCTCCACGCACCTTAGACAAATCTGTTCGGCATTCTGATTTTTAATAACCGAACTTGTGGCATCTGTAACATTCAATTTTAGACTTGTCTAATGACTTTGAGTTGTAGCCACCTCGTCCCTTTCTTCTGCCTTGATTGTCATAGTGACGTTGCTGATGATTTCCACTATAGCCCCGACCTCTACCTTTGCCTCTGCCTCTACCATTACCTATGTTGTACCCTTGTCCTCCAGAACGATCATTTGTTGAGGTATTCAATGCCACCTCCTCCTTTTCTTGTTGAGTGAATTTTTGCTCGTGAATTAACAAAGAGCTTTGCAATTCATCAATTGAAAGCAAATCAATATCATGAGATTCTTCAATAGAACAAACAACAAAGTTAAATTTTGGTGTCATGGTCCAAAGAATCTTTTCAACCATTATAATTTCATTTGACTTGTCATCGTGGATCCGCATTTTGTTGACGACTGTCATCACCCGTGAAAAATAGTCGCTAACTGACTCTCCAAATTTCATTCAAAGAGTTTCGAACTCCGAACGAAGTGCTTGAAGCTGTTGCCTCTTTGCCCTCGTCGATCCTTGATATTTCTTCTTCATGGAGTCCCAAATCTGCTTAGAAATATTTTTAGAAAGAATAGTTTCCAAGATTGAACGTTCAATTGCTTGGAAAAGATAATTCTTCACCTTGAGGTCCTTCAACTTTGCTGCCTGTGCTTCTGCTTTTTGTGCGTCTGACACTACTGTGCCTTCTGCTGGTTTTGGTATGCCATCCACAACCACTTGCCAATACTCCTTTGATCTTAGAAAATTCTCCATCAACATGCTCCAATGATCATAGTGACCATCAAAGCAAGGAATGACTGCTTGCACAGTTTTCTGAAGCCATAGATTCACACGTTGCTGTTGTAATTTCTTTTAGTATTTCTCTCACCAAACTGGTGCTTATACCACTGATGGAAAAACAGAAAACTTAAACTTGGAGAGAAAACAAACTTGGACTCTATTCAATAGGCACAAATTTTCATTTGTCGACTTACTACAATTTAACTCTTTTTAAATAGAGGTTTACTAACTTAAAATAAGGTAGCACTAACTCCTACTATCACTCAACTACTAACAAACTGAAAGGATTCTGCTATCCATATTCAACCAACTACTTACGTGCTAATGACTAAGTCAATTGAAATACTAACGACTAAATAAAGAGAAACAATAACCAACAATAGACCATACATTAAATTTATTATTGTGACTATTGCGAAAGTTCCCCTAATAAATACACATTAAAATTAAGAATACCCGCAAAAAGAATAAAACTTGCAATAACATGAAAGGGAATATACCATACTTGAAGCTTGCGTTTGTTAATTATAATTAATTTTAAAAGTGTAAAATTAAAAAAAAAAATATAACTCAAATAATGAAGGTCTTAAGAAGTACAATTTTAGTTAATTTAAAGTATTAAATATTAGAAATTGTTGTTCTATTATACTCTTTTCCCGACTAATTTGATAAATATTTCATTAAGTGAATAACATTGTTTAAGTCCTCTTATACAACAAATATTTGTTTGTTCTCTTTTTACCTCTTAGGAATAAGTAAAAAAAAATTAGGAAGGATTCTTATAAGGTAAAATATTATTTTATTTTAAAGTTCTTTTCATTTTAGGACTTTCTACATAGTTCAAATAAGAATAAATTTGATAATTAGAATTTTAGTTAAATTCAAAGTCGTAAATATGGTAAAGATAATAAAATAATAATTTGAGGAAAATAGTTTGTTTATTGTAGGTTATTTTAATGAAGTAAAATAATTGCTATAATAATTGAAGAAAAATGGTGAAAAAAATCGATTTTTATCTAAAGCAAAAATCTTTAATGAAGGGAAAAAAATTCAAAAAAAAAAAACATCTCTAACTGTATTCATGCTTTTAATATAGTACGGATAGATAAAATACTCTCTCTATCCAACAATAGTTGTTCACTATTTACTTTGTACAATTCTTAAGAAACTATAAATAGTAGAGTAATTTACGATATTACCCTTTGAATATAATAGATATAATGTCTTGAAAAATGTAATAAAGAAATAATTATAATTAATGATAAGGGCAAATTAGGAACTAAGATTAAAATTATCTATTGATTTCATAAAGTCGATAAATATTGTTGGACATTCCAAAATAGTATAGCTGATAGCTATTGTTATTGTTGGAGGGAGTGAGCAGTATATTTGACAGAGATCAAAAGTGTTCATTTTGTAACAAACTTAACTGTCCAAAACTGATTTTTTTTTTTTTAATATGTTGTAAACACAAAGGGAACTATTCTTTCGCCTTTTATTGAAGAAAACCATGCGCTCGCCATAATTTATGGCTTTTTCCATTTGTTATAAGCATTTTGAGTCCCAAAATAAGAGAAGAAAAAGAAAGAAATTGTGACAACGAATTAGTGAGAGAGGAATTGAAAATACTTACTATCATCATCTTCTAAAAGAAAGAACATTTAATCGTTGTTCGTAAAAATGGTGTGTTCTAATTATTGATGATTTTTTTTTCAGTTAGTGATTACAAATACATGTGTTAATTTCAATCTTTTTTAATTTAATTAATATCATTTGCTTTGCAGAACAAGCTGGGGTTTGCGCGTAAGGAGAAAGTTCAGCAATTCATGTCTGTTACTGGGTCAAGGTAACACTAAATCTCAGTGAATTTAAATATTTGCTTCTCATTATATATATGATTGGGATTTTGTATGGTTTCCTTTTGGCATACTTTGAGTTAGCCTTGGCGTATAGAAGTATGTCTTAGAACCTTGATGATGACACTAAAGTTAGGAAACAACGGAAACATTTGAATTTCAAGTTTCAAGGAAATTGCCAACATTGTTTTCATGATCTACGAAGCAAATTGTTGTAGCCCCTCTGTGCCTATAACTGGAATAAAAGTTAATTTCATTTATTTTGTCACATGTCCTCTAATAAGAGAATTTCCTTAAGCATTTCTATTATATTTGGTCAAAAGTTAATTTGAGAGGCCATTATTAGCTAGCATAGCGTACCAGCTCCCTTGATCCTTAAATTTATACACAGTGAGAAATCGGCTATTCAGACTATGAAGACCAATGATTGGCGTCTTGAAGGAGCATTAGAAGCATACTACAACCAGGAACATGTTAAGGCAGCTATAGAGAAAAACCGATGGGAGGTGCTTTTCAATAAATACAAAGGTTATAATTCTTTTCTATATATAATAAATAGTTTGTCAATAAACAAAAGCGTCTGGCTGAATTATTTTTTTCCATTTTGCAGACCCGAATGTTGACATGATTATGGCTGATGGTATTAGCAATCTCTGCAATGATCTTCAGGTGCTTTACCTCAATTGGTTGATCTGATGAGTCAAGCATTACTATTTCCATGATTAGAATTTCCGGAGGAGAGTTGTACTGTACTCAGTGTTTCGTAGTTTGTCTTTCCTATCTTGATTTAACACTTTCATAGTATACATACTGTTGTATATTGTATATTTCATTGTGTCTTCCTAGATTCATGAATGCCTGAGTAACGTAAAACTTTTTGTTTTCTTGTTAGGTTGATCCCCAGGATATAGTTATGGTATGTGAAATTAGCCTCTCGTCTACTTTCCTATTTGTCTCTCTGCCTCTTTCAGAGACTTGTTTTTACTAGAATATATCCTAGGACTTGTTACCTATCTGAAAAAGCATACATGGCTTCTTTGATTCACTTACAATGGCATTCAATTACAGTTGGTACTTTCATGGGAATTGAGAGCTGCGACCATTTGTGAATTCTCAAAGCAGGAGTTTATTGGTGGAGTACAGTCTCTTGAGTAAGCCTACATTAAGGCCTTCCCCCCCTCTATATATTTGAATTTCTTTTACCTTGGCAACTATAATATTTAGATGTCAAATGTCAAAGTGATGAAGCTGTAAACTGAATGGCAGAATAGATTCAATGGAGAAATTCAAGAAAAAAATCCCTCATTTGCGATCTCAGTTGAAAGATGAAGGTTTGTCCTGTCATGGAATTCCTCATTGTTGGTTAAAGACGTTCCATTGTTCTTCGATATTTGAAATTTGAACATGGATACCATACCTTGACTTTCTTTTTTATCTCTTCCCAGATACTTTCCGTGAAATTTACAACTTTACTTTCGATTGGGCAAAGGAGAAGGTGAGTACTTAATTACTGATCCAGCTACCTTCAGTACTCTTTAGGGTGACAAACGCGATGCATGTAGTTTCAGCTGTATATGCCTATCTTACTTCGTTATATTTTAGGTCATGATAGTTTGTTTATAGATCTCTAGTAAACATGTGCATGAATATTTCCATATAATTTTCAGGGTCAGAAAACTTTGGCGTTGGAAACAGCACTTGCATTGTGGCATTTGCTGTTTGCAGAATTGGAGTGGCCATTGATTGATCAATGGTGTGAGTTTATCCAGGTAATTCAACGGGAAAATCCTTGGGTAATCGTTTTTTAAGTTATCTATGTACAGGCAGCTGACTAAGTTTGTTAGGTTTGAAATTCGGTTTATCTGCTTAATGAAAATCACAACGTGTTGTGTTATATGCTGGACGATCATTGGTTTCTGTTTACTTGATTTGTTCTCATGCTTGATGATTCCCATCCCTTTTGATTTGTGTCTATCTTAATGTACTCATGATTATGCATTTACTTGGTTCTTATTTCCGCTTAACAATTATAGTATTGCAAGTGTTTTCACTGTTATTGAGGATGCTATAACTCACCCCTGTTCTTTCTTTCTTCTTGTGGTATCGTTCTGCTACCACCTGATTCAGGAACGGCATAACAAGGCTATCTCACGTGATGTTTGGTTACAGCTACTGGAATTTGCAAAGGTAAGTTATGACACACCCTCTTTAACCTTTTATCTCACACTTTGTTCTTAACTTTCAAGTTTTTTTTTTTTTTATTTCAAAAGAAGTACATTATATTGGTATCTATGACTTGTTACACAGACTGTGGACGCGACATTATCTAACTATGCTGCTGAAGGAGCTTGGCCTTGTCTTCTTGATGAATTTGTTGAATACTCGATCGAAAATGGCACTTGTGCTAAAAAGTCAGATGAGTGATGGGAGCTGTGCTGCAGTCACTTTCTGTAACATGAAATGTTATAATATGATGCAAATTAAGGACCACAGAATGTTGCAGTGTTGTTAACAAGCTTACCACTGGCTGCATTCTCTTCTTTCCAATTGGATAGCTGTACTGGTTCGGGGATTTCATTGCATTAGAAGTGAACCAAAGAATAAATCCAGTTAAAGAGGTTAAATAGGGAGTCCGAGGTCGACCAAATTACAGCCAGCAATCTGCTGTCAATAGAGGCCTAGACTTTAGCAATGAAAAGAACCATAGTTGCCATGTTTGATGCATGAATTGCTATCCTAGAGTACATTTTTTGATGTAGGATCAATTGATCATATTATTATAATTTGTATTTTGTTATCAATTGAAATTTAGAGATACCAATTGGACTCAACCCATACTACAAGGGTTAGTTCGCACGAAAGGACTGAAGAAGTGGACGACTTCCTAGAATGTTTTCATAGGCCACTTTAACAAACACACAACTTCCATGTAAATCAACTAAGAATAAGATTCTCAGTCATCTACGTGATGACCTAATGAAATACATGAAACATGTCTCACCTGATGACGCACAAATTCATATCTGAGTCCAACTCACCTTTCGAGTAAATCGTACCACTCAAGGAACCCTAAGACATCATCTACAGTGTTTAACAGAGAATCTCGATCTATACAAGAACCATTCCAACATTTAAATACAAATCTCGATCACTCATGGACCAACATGCAATAATCACATTAGAAAAAAGTAAATTTGGTTCACTCATGGAATCAACAGACAAACTATTAGTCTGCCGATATGGTACCAGAGGTCCAAAGCCAACCGTTGTTAGTACATACCAAACGTGGTATTCGACTTAATTGTTAGTATCTTGTACTGACGTGGTACCCGAGTCAATCATCAATTTCAAACAATATGCACAATCACAATTATTATGAATAACCACACTTTGTTCATTGCATGAGATTATCAACATGATGTCAATTAGCCTTTTAGTTTCCTCACATGCATTGCACAAGTAATACTATATATCAGTTAACATGCATACATTACATAACTCGAAAAACAAACAATCATCACCTACATATACCAATAACCAGTGGCGGAGCCAAGATTTTCATGGAGGGGGTTCAACATATAAAGAAGTAAATAATAAAAGTGGAGCTAAACGGATCGGCGAAGAAAAAATTTATCCTTAATCCGTTAAATTTAATTTGCCTTGTCATGCTGTGTTTAACGTTTCTTCCTACTTTTACACTGCTTCATTGATTATTATTTTTTTTTTAAAAAAAAGTGATTTTTTTCTTTTATTTTTTATTGTTTTACTTTATTTTGAATTTTTAAAATAAATTAAATTACGCGTTCATTCAACCATATGTTACTTTAAAAATTGTTTAATACTCTTTACAAATGTGTGGGGATTGAGTTACTAATATTATAATGCATATTAAAAGGATAAATAAATGGCATCGCCAATTTTTTGTTCTTTTATTCAATTTATAAGGTTTTCAATCGGTGTAAAAAAAAAAAAAGACGAATAAATCTCTCTAGAATAGAAATGAAAAAATGAGAAAGAAATATCATGAATAATCATGCCTTTCAAATTTATTCGTTCAATTAAGTTTAGTTTAACTTATCTTTAAAATATTTTTTCTCTATCTCAATTCAAGTTTAAGAATAATTGACAGTTTTTAAAAAAAGTTCCTTTGAATTACTATATAAAAGGAGAGTTACATAAAAATTAAATGAGCAATAGAGATAAAAAGAATAAAATACAAAAAATAAAAATAATGTGCCTAATAAATTCGAACAAAAGGAGAAATAACATTGAAACAAATAATAATAAAGCTCCAGTCCAAAAATGTTGAGCCCATCTCAGCCTTGCTATTTGATTTTCCAAATGAAGAAAACAAAAATAGAGTGTTGTTGTGTGGAATTGAACCCAAGACGGTTCAGCGAATTCTTGAACCCCCTTTACCACTGAGCTAGCCTCTTTACATGTGTTGACGGGGTTCATTTTAATATATATACATATGAAAACAGAATTTAATCTTATATATACGGTGTAATTTTCCGACAAAGGGGATTCGGATGAACCCCCTAACCGCCATGTAGATCCGCCCCTGCCAATAACCCCTACACTGGATCCCATTATGAGTAAACATTCGTTCTTGGGAATTACCTCACTAAGCCTATAAATTAATACTCTTCCCACTCCTTTTATTTTCTCTTGATTACCACAAGTCCTAAATATGACTATAACCCTACAATTTTGTGATACTTACCCTTACAATTACCATCAACCACCACAATAAGAAAACTCAAAGTTAGCATGAATCAAGAAACCTCCCATCAATTTATAAAATATCATGTAATTTGAAACGTGTCTAAATTACTCAGTTAAGAAAATCTAGTCTATCTAGACGCTAAACGACTGTTGAAGAATTCTGAATATTGACTTTTAGCTATATGGGGAAAATTCTAACGAACGTAGATCAGGAATTCCTTCGTTTTAACCCTTCCTGCGCTGGAATCTTTTCCCTCCATGATTTTTAAGCTAAGAGTGGCTTAGGAGAATTTTTGGAGCAATCCTTGCCTGTTTTCTTCATGAAAATAGTAAGAAAAAACAAAAGACATCATTTTATTAAGGGTTTGATTCCGTCAACTCCATTATAAAGGTCAAGCAGGCGCTATAGCGGAAGGCTTCCCCCTATGCGGGTTGACGTCAGTCCCAATTAAAATAATTTTTTTAAAAATAAAAAATGCCATGCACCCAATTTTAAATTGGCAACACATTTCTAAGATTTTGGGATTTTGCACGAAGTGTCTTTGAGTACCGATGGATAAGGTTGTTACAATGAGTGTATGAAAATTTTTGGTTGGACTATGAATGTCACTGTCTCTTTCTTCTAGACCAAAATGGTGAATTTTGAAACTTTATTCAAACTAAATTTAGTAATGGAATATTTATAATGTTAGTCGTTCTAACTATTTTTCGTTTTGAACGAATCATTGTCTTTTCCCCCTCTTTTGAATATTCATTATTAATTTTTTTATGTATGGTTAATAACCATAAGTCCATAACCAAATCGAATCAAATCAAAATTGATAGTACAACCAATCCGAAAATGTATATTATATTTGGTTTGGTTTAGTTTAATTATAATAATTTTCAAACTGATTAAATTGGTTTTATTTTGATTTAACCAATAACCAATCCATGAACACCCCTAAGTGCAACAGAAAAAAGTGATAATTATATCAATCATTTTACCTCGTAAAATTAAACTATGCAGGAATGTCTAACAATATTCATTATAAATCTATCTTTTATAAAAATTAGATCAAAGAAGACAAAAAAAATGTTCAATCAAAAAGACAATAGATGAAGAATAAGGAGAATTAAAAATAAAATAATCGCCATATATGTCTCGAAAGAGGTTTTTATAAGTGTGATTTTAAGGTGTCATAAATTTATATATTTAATTATTTGAAAGTTATGAATATGAAAAACTAGGAATTACGGATATTACTAATATTAACTAAGAGTGAGATTTATGTAATTGAAAATGTATAAATTAAAGATATGATTTGACAAAATAAAATAATTTAAAAAATGAGAGGAAAAGGCCAAAAAAACTACTACAAAAAAGATAAATAAGATCCATACTCTTAGAGAACACCATGTCACTGTTTCTATATCCATATTTATTATTATATAAATAGATTAATTTAAAGATTCTTGCGTCATATGAAAATAACTTTTTTTAATTTTAAAATGAAAAAAATATAATTTAATAAACCCTTATACTTATATGAGTTTGTAGTTTGAATCTTCGTAACTTTTGGTCAACGAGTTAAGTTCACAAATGACCCTCATAAGGACTGATCTTGATATTTTGTCCTCCGTAAAAAAAGTTTTACAAAAATAGCCTCCATTCCTTTAATGAAATTTTTTTGGGGACTTCAAATCTAACAAAATAAAGAAAACTTGTATTTTGATAACTAAATGAAACTAAAATAAAAAGTTGTATTTCTTATTTAATTTTTTAACTTTTCTCTCTATTATTTTTTCTCCTTCTTATCTTCTTATTTTAATTTTCTTTTCTTTTCTTTTTCTTTATGTTTTTTCTTAGGTTTTTCTTTTCTTTCCTTCTTTGTTCTTTCTTTTGTTTTCCTTATGTTGTTTTTTCTGTTCCTTCCCTTTTTCTTTCTTTCTTTCTTTCTTTCTTTCCTTAGTTAAAAAATAAGAAAAAACATATTTTCTTCTAAAAAATAATAATATTGAAGTCACAAAAAGAAGCAAATATTTAGATAATACAGAAGAACTTATTTTTAATCATTTTATACTTTTGAATTGTTTGTATCTAATTATGATATTTGGAGTAAATCAAAAAGTTATAAAATGATTTTCTTCCATTATTATTTTTTATTATCAGGTATATTGTATTACAAAATAAGCTAATAATTAGGTATTTATTGATTTAATATGATCTAACACTATAAATAAAACCATAATTACAATTTAATTTAATAATGGCCGCACACCTCACCTATAATATAATAGCAACAATTACGCATGATTCACATTCACTTATAATATATTTTTTTATCAGTGTTTTTCAATTAATTATTTTAAAATATTGTAACTAAAAGTTTCTAAAAGAAAACTGATAATCTTTGTTAAGAAAATGAATGCAGATACATAAACTAAAACAGAACAAAAAAAGCTATGGAATAATAAAATTGATTTTTTTTAAAAAATGCTAGTAAGTTAATTTGATATTATAAAAAATGGTGAATAATAAGAATATTTTAAATATTCAGTCAAAAAACATAATCAGTTGTTTTGAGAAAAAGTATTTATTAATACAGAAAAGAGAGTCATATTTGCCCTTGTATTCTTAGAAAGAAGGTTATATTTGCCCTTCGTGATACTTTTGAGATATATTTGCCCCTCACATCCAACTTTAGATACATATTTACCCTTAAATGATTAAGTCTGATATCCTCACTTTTAATATCATATGTGACACGCCTACATGGATATATTTATTTTTTCTATTAAAAGTTTCTCCTAATTTAATTATTATACCCATTTAATTTAACCCATAAACTCAATTCCTAATGCTTATTTAGTCATTTCTGTTGCGACTTGGATATACATATGGAATATGTCCTTCTACCCAAACTGTTGTCCTTCCCATCACCATCATCATGGACTCGAGGAAAAGGAAAACAAAGGGGTGACAAATCAAGTAAAACTGAAGCAGAACAATTAAAAGTTCTTTCTCCATTTCTTTGGTTGCCAAAACAGACCCAGTTTCCTACAGAGGAGTAGAGTTCCATTTTCTGTAAATAAAGAAAACTCTAGAGTATTTCTAAAGAAGATGATTTTCTCCTTGGGAAAGTGATAATGAAATAAAAGTATTAAAATTTGCATTTTATGGGTTAAATGGATGGGTATAAAATTGGGTTGGATATAATAATTAAATTAGAAGAAAATTTTAAATGAAAAAAAACATATATATATATATATACTAGTAAGGGTTGCCCGGGCAATGCCTGGGCCCAACAAAAACAAAGTCATTGGGAAGGTTATTTACAATATGTTATGATCATAAGTAAAGCGGAGCAGTTTAGTGATTGTGTTGAGTATGCATCTTGGTTGGTTGGTCTGCATGAGGTATTTTGTTTGGGAACAACCATTTTGGAAATGAGAGGCAAAAAAGGATTGTAGTAGTATTGTTTTAGAATGAAAAATTAAACTTATTAGATTCACTCATAATCAAATATTGTGGCTGTTGTCTGTTGTCGTCAGTAGGCGTAGGCAGTTGAATTAACTATTTGACATAGTTTGAACTGCCGACTCTTCATAAGGCATGTACAAAGTGTAACATTTGTTGTTGTATTGGAAAACGATAACCTTGCGAAGATGCAAGTGAAGATGAATTAGGCATACAATTTTCGCCAGAGGATGTGTTTTTATAATTGCTACATGAAATTAAAATGTATATATTGCTTTTGTGGTTCAATCTAAAGACTCACAAATTTAGCAATGACTTTGCCAAGACCCATTCAAGAAGTTGGGCTCTGGAATTAACATGAGCAAGACCAATGTTGTAGACAAACTGGGTTGAAGTCTTGACCTGTGCTTAGATGATACTCCCTCCACTCCTTTTAAGGTGTCATGTTGACTTTTTGAGAGTCAATTTGACTAATTTTCAAAGCTAAATTATATTATATTTATTCGATTATAGATATTCAAAAACTATATAGAAAGTACTATAAATTGCAACTTTTTGTATATCAATATGATGAAAAAATACATCTTAAAATGTTAGTCAAATTCAGATGGTTTGACTCTTAAAAAGGAAGCTATGACAACCAAAAAGGAACGGAGCGAATAGTAAGATTTAATCAGGTTGGTAAAGTGAATAAGGAGGTATTTAATCCATAACAGTTTCGAAATTAAATGCAGAAACTCACATCTCAAAATCAAAGCATCTGGAGAACAATATTTACTTAAATTTACTCAGAGGAAGGAAAGACACTGTTAATACTTCATTAAAAAAAAAGGAAGACACTGTCAATAAACTTAGGCTAAGAACCATCTGCAAACAACTTGTGTATTATTTCCTAATACTTATCATGGTCATCTATGGGCACATAGTAAAAGGCAAAAGCTATAACGATTAAGGAGCAGACTAACCGTTGAAAATAGCATGTTTATCAACTTGGCAAATAACACACTGATAAATAACAGTTGCCTCTTGAATGGACTTGTTTTGCTTACTATAAAAAAAGGATTAGCTGATATATAACATGATTAAAGCCCTCGTATTGTCAATTTTCAACTGAGAATGGTGAATCAGGTGATAGTGCCAATGAATAAGGGTTAGATCAAAACATCTTGTTCGAACTTATCTTGTTATTTTTTGAAAAAGAGTAGGTTTCTCCCAGTATACACTGACTTGCATGTTCCCTGTGGGGAGTAGTAGTTGCACTCACTGCAAAGCAAGCAGAAGAAATATACAAACATCAAATAGGTTGCATACTTTTTCATATCTAGTTTATTGTGTGCTTTAGGTAGTCTTTCAATAGCTAGAGTGAAGGTTTAAAAAGTCCACTATATTTGAATTTAGACTCATAATAATTCTATTTCATATGGATATGGAATGGGGGGCAGAAAAGCAGTATCAGATCTAGTTAAGATATTTTTGAGAGTACTTGTTGATCCTTGTTGTTCTCGCTACTACAGAAATCTCCACAGTACCTGATAAGTCTATAAATTAACATTACTGTCAATTCTATGAAACGGATAAAAATGTTATACCATGGCATGAGTGATTTTCAGATTTGCTTCTTCAAAACTATTGAAGAGTTGCAGGCTGAGAATCTTTCAGTGAATTGTGGAATTTTTGAGTAGCAGTAGAAATTTGCAGAGGAAAGTTTGATGAAGTTAACAAAATCAAAAGTGAATGGAAAGGCTCTGCGAATAATTTTATTATACACTATATTATATAAATTCCAACAAAATCTAATGTTTGACCTTGAGCTTTGTGTTCTTTTAAATTGTACATTGTCGATATAGGAGGATAAATACAAAAATGTATGAAGTCAAAAAAGCTTTAAAATATAGAGAAGCCCAAAGTCAAGTTGAAACGGACGGTGGCACAAACGAAAAGTCGAAGAGACCCAGAGAAATTGTCGCAGGCAAGCGAATTACAAAAGGATTGTGAAATCAAATAGTAGAGGCTGAGTCAGGGAATCAGTAAAATTTGTGTGAAGGACGCCCACCTGATATAGGAAGCAGCTGTAGACTCCACCAAAGTGCAAAATTGAGAACAAGCGAAGAGGAGAGGAGAACCGAGGTGCGAAGATGGCGGTCGGCGAAATTGGAGGTGTGTGACGGTGCTGCACATCAAAGGAGGCGTTAAGGTTGATGCAAGATTGCAGAATCAAAATAAATTCAAGTGTAAATTATGTTCACCTGGACACAACTATGAAGGAGAAGAGAAGAAGAGGAGAGAGCAGATGGAGATGGCCGATGGTTAACAATGGAGGAGGCGCTGGAATTGATGCAGAAAAGAGAAATGACAGAAATAACCCTTCAACTTCAATGTTTTTACAGGGAAGCGCACAAGGCGTATGCTATTCCCTTTTCTTAAATAGTAATACTAGAAGGGCATGGCCCGTGCTTACCACGGGCCCAACATAGTTGATTTGCTCTCGATAAATAATAAAGTATGCTGAAAATTATCCAGCTATATTTATTGCAAAAAAACAATTTATTCAAGTTGTGTATATGAATTAGCGAAAGGGATGATCAAGTATGGAAATAAAATGTCTTCATTCAAGCATCTGCAAAATCATTGATAAGGTAGACTACATAAAATATTGACTCAAATTTGCACCCAAACGAAATAATCAAAAAGTAAGAAAGGGAGAATGCTCGAAGTTGTTAGAAACATTCTACATTTACAGACATTACTAATAATGTGTCAACATCTGGACTATCCAATGTACTATGGAGATCAACAACTTTTCAACTTTTTGTACATATCTAACTCTTCTGTGCCCAGACATTACTATTTGTTGTTCCCTGCAAATTATTTGAAAGTGCACACACCAAAAATAATCAGCACAAGTTCTTGTTAAGTCTATCAACTTCTTATTTGCGCAAACTGCATATTTATATCAAGGTGATAAAAATAGAAGTTAATTAAGTAGTTCTTTTAAAAGCCAACTTCCATCTTACCGACTTGACTTGCTATGTATATTCTTATCTACACTACAAATACCTTATAAAGGTACACATTTGCTTCAAAGTCCTCTTTTAGCAAAATTGAGCTAAAATCTCTACTCAAGATAAATTCATTAAGTGATATTTTTTTAGGTGACAAGTTCTTTTTTCTTTTGACAAGTACAATGATATATGGAGGGAAGAATTTATCTCTGGACTTCCATTTATCTTAACAAAAAAAAGAGGGAGAAATAAAATTACATGTGTCATCTCAGTCACATTGTTTTCCTCTTTGACTATCCTTAACAGGAAGCAGTCTTAAGATATTGTGGACAATTTTTTTTCTTGTCCTCCTAAAGATCATATATTACAGAATGCTATTTGATTTACTAAGCTCAACAAATATGGTATCTAACACATAGACATAGTTGCTTCTGAATCTAATAAAGTGATAATGAACAACTAAGTAAAACTAAAAATGATAATATAGAGGGACGGAGTACATGGATCTGTTAGACCCGCTTAGCCATTAACCTTAACTCTAACATTAATAGTTTGAGTGTGCGACAGAGATAAAAGCATGTTATAGCTATGTTTGTATCCTTTCATTTAAGTTTACTACTCGACTTAAGATTATCAATTCAATAAATGAAAATCTGAACGACAATTTTTTTAAGCAAAACCTATCCCGCATGCATAATCACATAATATGTAAAACCTTCTTCATTAGATAGTATGTGTGTCAAAATTACACATAATACCTCATTAAGGGAATGAATATTACCAAATCATTCCCAACCATCATTAGTCTCTCAATCCCAGAACTGCTATAAAGTCGACTCTACAGGTGAAGTATTTTAAACTTGTTGTATCTAATGCTAAAACTGTAACTTCTATCCAAGAATAACTACTAAATACTACTACAACACCATTCAAAATAGAACATTGTGGTTTGTTTTCAAGAAAAAGAGACCTACAATTTCAAAAGCCTGAAAAAGGTATGTGAAATTGTACCTTAAGTCTTGAAAATTAGAGAATCTGAAATCAATCATTTTCATGATTTGGCCTCCTCCTTGTGCTGTTTCTGGAACTTGAATGTTTTTCCCTTTTTCATGGGTTGGCTCCTTCTTGTTCTGTTTCTGGAATTTAATTGTTTTTCTCAGTTACTTGCCTCACTCAACAATATAACTATAGGTGAGCAAGGATCCAACAGTACTAATTAGTGAGTATACCAGATGTGTTTGAATCACAAAGGAGTCAAATCCATGAGAATGTGAAACTCTACAGAGTGTGCATAGTATAAATAAATACAAAGTCAAGACGAACTAAAAAGATTTGGTGAGTTTTCATCTCCCATGACATGACAATAGTTAAAGTAAACTCCTGGAAAAATGGCTAGATATACTAAGATGTCTACAAAAAAAAAGAGGGTGTAGATAAAATCTCTCCATCCATATTCCACATATTACATAATAAAATAAAAATAATCACCAGAAAAAGTAAAACTTACTTGATTGAAGTAGCACTGGATACATTCTTAATACCTTGCCTCTTTCTTTCTTTAATTAGTCTGCAAGGATGTTAAGAGTTCCATTAACATCTAAAAAAATATCTTCATTTTAATACTCGAATAGAATTATTAAAGAAGGTCCGATGTCGATGAGACTTCTCTTTGCTAAAACAGTCCTCAAAAAATTTTAAGAGAGGATAAACTTATTAAAATTCTTAAATACTTGAGTTATTAGACTTGTCAAAGAATAGAAAATTGACAATTCATCTAAGCTTCTCATTACTATTATTTCTTTAAATGGTGATTTAGTGTGTTCAATGATACAATAATTTGTGCTCAGTGCTCCTAGTAAGAAAATTGTCATTGAAGCATTGGAATGAGAAAAACAAATCCTTTATGCAGACTTTAAAAGCTACATCTTTTATTTTCTTCAAATGATCATACAATTTTGCTCTTGCTTGTAGTGCTATCGAACTTGTAATAGGGGGAGGGATAGAGTTTATAACAATAAGAGTATTGTCAAGTTATCTTGTACAGTTGTTTCTGACTTTGGCTACAATTACATGAATCATGTAGGGAGATGTATGTAGAAGTTGGCAAGGAGGAGGTAAGAATCTTGCCTTTTCTGTTATTGCTATATTTGCAATAAGCAATTTATAGTTATGAATCTATGGTATTGATTGTTATTATTGTTCTACAAAAAATAATGTACTCATACAAATGGAGAAACAGGATATGCACCTGACACCTGACAGACACAATCTAAATCGAAGGCATGTTTCCATGGACTCTGCCAAAAAACTACCAAAAAGAACTTAGAAAAATATGTTCTTTACTTGATATATAATTGTAAAAAATAAATATAAATGCATGACATTGAAAGTGTTTTGCAACCGTCTGTTATTGATATTGCCATCCAACATGAGTCATACACTAACTTTTCTTTTTCACATCTGTCCATCACCTCCCGGAGAAGCCAAAATAAGTAGTTTGGAAGATTATAATTCACAATAAAGTTCCTGCAAGTTCATATACATTATTATTTCATTAATATGAAATAACCAAACAACCATTGTGCAAGAAATGAGAAACAAAGAGTCAATGGCCAAAATCACACCTTAAGTATCCGATATTTGAATTTCATCACTGAACTATGAGCTATCACCAACTATTTGTCAAAACACAAGTCAACCATCAATAGATTACTTCTCTTGTGTGAACATATAGTGATATTTCAGATAAGAAACTCACTTCTCCTTCAGTTCAGGTATTTTTTTCAGCCTTCACTCTAGAAACAAATAAAGAAAAGTGGCAGATTCAATCATTTTTGAAAAATTTCATCAAACTTGTGATGCAATTGCTACAACACTTGAAGAGAAATCTGATCAAGAAAGCTCAAAATAACAATAAAACAACACCAACACCACATAAAAAGGAAAGAAAGAGAGAAAAAAAAAGCTCAAAGTAGCATAAAAGGTATTTCTCCCAGATTGGAACAAAGGACATTCCCAAACTTCATGTCACCTAATGAAACATGGATATAACAACAGGAAATGATAAAGAAGAAAAAAAAGATAGCTTTTCAGGATCACCACCCTTATCAGGTTCATCTAACCAATTTTACTATACAAATTGAACAAATACATGAACTCTAAGAAGCACCTCAACTAAACACTTACACATCCTAAAATGCCACCTTTAATCATCCTAGCTCTTAATCTAAAGACTCTGAACAAACACAACAGCATAACAACAACAAAAGGCACCACCCCAACACATAAAAAGAGAAAAACGCTTAAGTAGCACAACAAACATTCCCTCCCCCTCCCCCCAATCCAAAAAAATCTTAGCAGCCCAACATAGTTGAATTTGGTGTCGTCTTTTTCACCTTAACAATACAACCAAAGTAATTTAACTATATGGATAGAGCATGACATTTTTATGTACATGTACGAAAAAAATAAGCTCATATACCTTCAAATAATATTGATCATTTTGTTCCAGACAGGCTATGTACAATAAATACATAGTTGTATAAGTGAAGACATGTTCCAGCTAGACTACATATGATACATATATAATTGGGTAAGTGATGACAAGAGTGTACAACCACCCCACGAGCCATGAGTATAAACATTATAGAGAGAGACCACTAATACTCAACCTTCAACCAAATTAGTCAATACAGGCCCAATCTAAATGACCTGAAGGTGATATCTTGCTATCTTGTTCACGTTCTCGAGTCCTAACTTAATGTGATTTTCTTGAGTACTGTGGTTTCATTGGATATATATAGTACTAACCTTTGAGAATTTTTCTCACAGAGCCTTTCTATATTCTCACTGAATTCTTCTAATACATTCTACACCTTAGAAATTGAGACAAAATAGTGAATGAGTACATGCATGTGCAAAATCAGTTAACACCAATGCTCACAAGATTTCTAGTGAGTTTTACTTAATTCTCTTTCTTTCTTGTTGCATCCATTTCATAATACGGGCTTCCTGTAAAGTTTCTCCAATTCCCAAATCAAAAACACATAAAAATAAAAGATAATTTTGACTTTGATAAATAAGAATTCAATATCTCGGGAAAAATAATCAAACCCAAAAACTGAAAGGAAAACACAAAAATTTACTTGGATTGAAAGATTACCTCCCATTTCGATAGTCAAATGTGAAATTTCATCACCAAATTGATGTTTCAGCCGGGCACTGAAATCACTCTTCACTATATTTCCATCAATTTGATGTTCCTCTCCGAAAATGTAATACCTCCATTTCTAAGTCACTTTTTCAACTTCTCCATCAAGAGTGAGAATGAGAATGAAAAATAAAAGGTAGAAAATGACTGAAAAGATAGATTGGTGAAAGAACCATAGGAAAATAATTGAAAACTAAAGCATGTACAAGGACACGTGTTTATTCAATAGTGAATAGGGCTTAATGGTACAGTACAATTTTTGATACTATTGGTACAACTTTGTAGAGCTGTGTTGGTACTCTTCTTGTTGGCATATATATAAGGGTAATAAATATATATATCCATGTAGGCATGCCACTAAAAATGAGAATATGAAACTTAACTATTCAAGAATACATACGTACCTAAAATAGGATGGAAGGGACAAATATATCAAAAAAAAAAAAAAAAAAAAAGTGTGACTGAGGACAAATATATTACTATTGTTTGTTACGCGTCTAACTATTATTTCGCCTTTCTATTCAAGAAAATACCATGCGCTCACCAAAATTTATGGGCTTTCTCCAATTGTTGGAAAACTTTTAAACATTTGGAGTCCCTAACTATAACACAAAAAAGAAAAAGAAAAAAAAAAGGAGAAATTGCTGAAGGAGGAATCGAAAATCATCGAAGGAACAATTAATCATAAAAATGGTGCGTTCTAATTCTTCATCTTTTTTTTTTTTTTTTAAAAATAATTGTTATTTGCTTTGCAGCACAAGTTGGGGTATGGGCGCAAGGGTACTGTTCGGGGTTTCATGGCTCACACTGGCGTAAGGTACCTTAGTCCTCACTGAATTTTAAAATTTGTTTCTTATTTGAGTTGGCCTTCGTAGATAGGATTACCTGATATGTGGGACCTAGCAAGCTGATCTTACACCACAATGATCATAAAAAAAAACTATTATATTTGCTGATCTAAGCATAATTCCCGGTAAGATTTTAGGGTTATTTGTGGGAGGGGCATTTGTACCTAATTAAAAGCAATGTTGGAGTTTTTTTTTTTTTTTCTTCATGATTTTTTTTTGGTGACTCGAACTCGCAACTTTCGGGTTGGAAGTGAGGGGTGCTTACCATCCGAGCAACTCCCTCTCGTCTGCAATGTTGGAGTTTTTATGATTTTTTTTGGTGACTCGAACTCGCAACCTTCGGGTTGGAAGTGTTTGGTGCTTGTGGGGTGAGCCCCACTAGATAGATTACTCAATTCACAGTTGTTCAAGGTTAGAAAGGGTGGAGGTATTATCAAATAATTCAGTTATAAACCGTGTTCAAAATGCGCAAAAGGTTTGTTAGGGTTTTAAGTGCAAATAAAGCGCGAGCTTTAATGAAAAAAGGCACAAAGGAAAAAAATACAAATATATATATGTTTAATTCAAGGCTTAAAATTATAAGAACGAGTGACAAATATATGAACAAAAAAATCAAAAAGAACTTGTGATAAAGTGAAGGATCAATCGTTCAGTGCTGCCTCTTTCAAGAAGCTCACTGGCAAGGAAAAATGTGATGACACTGAACCACACATTAAGCGAGGCGAAGTGCTCAACACGTTTTGAGCTTTGCTTCATGTCTTAAGCACACCTTTGACAACACTGGTTATAAGTGGTCATGCTCTTGCTACGGAAGCTTAGCAGCAATAAAACACAGTTCACCCCTAACTACGTTGCGTTTTTGAAGCACGAAGATCCTTAAAAGTACTATTTATTGTTCCAGAGGTATTCGAGCCTAAGCATTTTAAATTAGAGCTACTGGAAGCAACATAAGATTTGATCTAATAGAGTTCAATTTCCATTCTCAACTGACGACAAATATGAGCTCGAAACTACTTTCGAATCTCCCATAATTTCTTCGTAGTGGGGTCTCCGGTCGATGGTACTACTTTACTACAACAATTGATCCGATAAATCAATGTATGCTGGTCAACCGACCAACCATTCAGAATGGAACAGACAGGGGAGATTGGATTCTTCTCTCGACTTTCATAGAGTAGTCAATTTGATCCCAATGCAGGCGGCTAAAATACCTTTAGATGAGGTAGGCTAGGGTAGCATGCCGACAAAAGGCGTGTATGGTAGTGTTTTGTAAGAGTTCTTCATTAGACTTTGGATCCTTGATAGTGGCAAGTTCATTACAGAGAGATTGAACTTAGTGGAGATAATTGGGCAACAGGAAGGCTCTTTGGAGAGATGAGCCATATGATCACGTAAACTAAGGATTCTCTCTTGAGATATGCTTGCATATGCAGTATGCAAAACATCCCACACAGTGACTAGATCGGCAACAGTAACAACACGTGTTAGATCAACTGATGCCTAAGTTTCTTAGACTCGAGTGCGGGTATTCGATACAGATGCGGATCTAAAGGTCATATTTTTCATCACATAAAATTTAGAATTCAAGGGTATGGATCTAAATGCAGAAACAGGTGCTAGGATACGACCAATAAATGTATATTATGACATATTAAGTATATATCTCGATTTATTACAAAGCTCTTGAACTAACATTAACAAAATTTAATTCTTTATAACACCTAACATACCCATGTCGTGTTGACACGGGTGCGGCAAGGATTTTGAAGAGTTTGAACAACATCGACTGATGCTAACATAGCATGTTGGATTACTCAACCTTGGCGATACCATGTAACAAACTTAGGATTTTTGATATCTTGATTGTTTTGAGATACTATGCGGGTAGGGGCAGGTGAGAATCATTGACATTGCCATAAAGGTTGTGACCGGTCATAAGCATGGAGTTGTTGGTGCCAGCTAATTTGATGGGTGCCTAGGTTACAAAATTAAATTAAACAGCAATTGTGTTGGTGTTGGCATCAGAATTGAGGGCAGAGATGTTTGAGGCCATTTAATGGGAAGGGTGGGAGGGCTATTATAAAATAAAGGACTTGTGAGAGTTAATATGGATCTTGATACCATGTGAAGTATATGACTCAAGACACTCTTTGTTAATGTGCATATTTATTACCTCTAAAAGTTTTTTTTGTTGTAGTGATAGGAATAAGATAACTAATAGGGGTGATTTTTTGTTATTACTGTGCAAATTTGATGCTACCTTTTAGTGCTTAGGAAGTTCATTTACTGCATAAATCCGTCATAAAAATATATTGTGTAAAAGATAATATTAAACAATGCCACTAATAAAGAGAAAAACCGATGGGAAGTTTTTCTCTATGCTGTTACCACTTCAATATTGAACCCAATGTTGAAATTCAGCAGCTTTTATGCATCTTAAATATAAGGCAAAATGAGCATCTATTTATCTGGTTTTTTGTTTTATGCTATTATTTTCTGGGACGTGTTGAAGTATCAGAGTGATTCATATTTATTGGTTATTAAACATAAGTTTAGGTTGTTATTCACTGGTTCTTTAATAGGTGGAATAATGGCTTTTAGTAACCGAACTAGTCGGCTACCTGAACTTCCCATTTGGTTGTAGGGATACGATTCCCCACCTTGTAACTCTCTTTCCCATTTACCCCTTCTCTCCCCCTTTGTATAGTACATATATATATATATATATAGCTATTAAGTTGTCTGTTTCATTATGAAAAGACTCCTCAATGTTAATTTCCTGAATTGGGAAAAAATGGAGACATTTGAAATTCAAGTTTTAGGGAAACTACCAACATGTTTCATGATCTACGAATAACTTTTTCTACAAAACAAATTGCTTAAGTCCCTCTGTGACTATAACTGGAATAAAAGTCACTTTTCATTTATATTGTCACATGATCATCTAAGAGAATTTCCTTAGTGATTTTTAAACATTTGCTCAAAAGTTATGTGGATTACTTTGAGAGGCACCTTGTTTGCATAGCTTACCTCCCTTGATCCTTAAATTTATACACAGTGAGAAATCAGCTATTCAGCATCTGAAGAACAATGATTGGAATTTTCAATTAGCAGTGGAAGAATACTACAGCCAGGAACATGCTACGGAGAAAAACCGATGTGAGGTGCTTTTCAATAAATACAAAGGTCAGGACCGTCTCCTAAAACCTTGTAAACTAACGACTATTTATCTTTTTGACAGTTAACTTATTTAATCCATGGTTATAATTCTTTTCTGTATATATATGCTCTGTTAATAAACAAAAATGTCTGGCTGAACTTGGTTTAAGCTTTAAAATAGCTCAGTTACAATCATGCTTATTTCTTGATCCCAAAAGACGCTGAGGTGGAAAAGAATGAAGAATAAGCATACTTAGCACCTTACTAATGGAAGCTTCTGTAGAAGGGTTTCTTCAAATTGAAGCTGAAGTAACAGATAACCTAAGTTGGATTGATCATATTAATATTTAAAGCATTCGAGGCTACCACTGCTTGCCTATTTATTTGGTTATGTTAGACTTTGAACATCAAAGAAGATTGACTATATCTGTTTGAGTCTAGCATGATTTGACTTGAACTTGCAGAATAATTAAAAGTTAAAGTTACATTGTTCTGTACAATCTGGCTTTATCCAGACTTATAGGCAACTTATGAAGCTGTCATGCACTATTAACTTTGTTATTTAATTGATCAATGAAATTTTGATGGGATATCAACTCCTTCATACTCACTTAAGGCTAGATGTCTTTTGTGGTTATATAGTTGGCATAACCTATGATAAGAATTGGGTTACCAGAATAACAAGAAAATAATGCAGAAGCGAAATTATAAAGATTAAAGACAGAAATTGAAAGATATGTGAAGTTTGAGAATAAAATCCCCAAATTTCAAGAAAAGTGCTTAGAACCCTAATTGATCATAGTATTCCAAATTAGCTAATTAAAACTAATTATGATACTAATAATGTCAATTCAAAAACTTAGGTCAATAGTGATCTAGACTGTTATTGATGCGTTTGTCGGGAAACAATATTACAGACGCAAGAATGATTAATATTTCCGAATTATTGTTTTAGTTGTTTTAGTCAAACATAACTTCATGAGTGGATTAGGATTTTTATTATTTTAGTTTTATAGGACTTTGTTATTTCTAATTTATTAGGACTCTTGCTATTGTAAACCTCTATTTAAGAGAGTTGACATTATTAATAAAATAAGTTGAATTTTATCAAGTTTCAGAGATTCGGAACTTTCTCAAACAAGTTCCCAGGTCTGCAATTCCCTGAATGAATTGCAAATTTCAGCAATCATAGGCAAGTCAAGGAACAAGAACATGGGCTTAGACCTGTCTATTGGACCTGACTTTTCAGTTAATCGTCCAACGACTCGATCCAGAACTAGGGACCTTAACATAGACCTCTATTTCGAAGAAACTAGAGACAACAATTAGTGTAAGACTAATCACCTTCTTTAATTTACGAATAAGAACCAAAAATATCAAATTCAGTATGAATCTTACCTCTTAAGAATTGTTCTTATAAGGTTGTAAGATAAATCCATATTCACCACACACAAAGGAGTAAAGAAGAGAAACCTGTCAAATAATATTAATTATATCTTTTCAAATAATAAAATCTACACCTATATATAGGGAAAACCTATCCCAAATAGAATGGGATTTAAATCCTACTTTTATGAAAATAATAACTAGGACATTTTAAACTAGTAAACTTTAAATTAGGAAATTTTTTGAACTAGGAAGCTTTTTAAAATAGGAAATTTTTATGCTCCTATTGGGCTCCATGTGGGCCCTCTTCTTGGGCCTTCATGTGGCCCAATCTTTCGGCTCTTGGACTCGAACTTGGACCATGACATGAAGTATATGTAGCACTTAGTCCAATTCTTGTTGTAATTCTTGGGTCAATCTTGGGCTTTTCTTCCACAATAAACATCTTCTTGATTTCTCATTGAAGCCCGTCAACTTTAGTGCAATTAAGCCGACATGGATGCTATCAACCTAGCACCTGTAAATTGCCCTATCTACATTTCGGACTTCATCAGCTACTTAGCTTTAGCCTACTTTCTTTTGTTTCTAGGTTGACCCCGTCTTTATTCACTCTAATTATCTACTACTTTCATCTTCTTGATGCCTTAATGAGATTTCTTTCATATAAAAAAGGTGGTCAATGAAAATTTGAGTTAATATCTCATATGGTCACTCAATTAATACTTTTTTTCACAGAAAGTCACTCAACTTTCATTTATAACTTCAAAGTCAGTCAACTATGAATTTTTCTCACAGACAGTCACTCAACTAATTGTTTTTTTCTTAGAAAGTCACTCAACTTTTTTTATAACTTCAAAGTCACTAAACTATAAATATTTTACCTACAAAGTCACTCATCTATTGATATTTCATTTAGAAAGTCACTCAATCCATTTAAATATGTTTTCATTAAATTTTGTTGAAAAACAATTTTTAAAAAATAATAATAAGATGCTCATTTTAATTATTTTATTAAAACATAGTTTTGCTTTTAAACTAATTTCTTAAAAAATAATAAGATTCTCATTTAATTATTTTATTAAATTTATTGAAACACAATTTTGTTTTAAACTAATTTCTTAACAAATAGTAAGATACTCATTTTAATTATTTTATTTAATTTTGTTTAAATACCAATTTATTAAAACGATTCTTTTAATAAAACTGTTATGCAGCCCGGCACCAGCACTAGTAACGGTGGATGCAATGCAATGCATCATTTTCGATTTAAAAATGCTACAGTGTAAATCTTATTATTTTTGTATTAGGTTCACAATAGTTATTATTTCTTTAAAAATTAGTTTAAACAAAAATTGTATCTCAACAAAATTTAATAAAATAATTCAAATGAATATTTAGTTTTTTTAAAAATAATTTAAATCAAAATAGTATTTCAATAAAATTTAATAAAATGATTAAAATGCGTATCTTCTTCTATTTTCTAATAAAATTGTTTCGAAAAAATTTAATAAGAAAATTAAATGAGCATCTAATTATTATTTTTTATTAAAATTAGTTTAAAACAAAAATTATATTTTAACAAAATTTAATGAAAACATATTTAAATTGGTTGGGTGACTTTCTAAATGAAATATCAATAATTGAGTGACTTTGTAGGTAAAATATTTATAATTGAGTGACTTTGAAGTTATAAAAGAAAGTTGAGTGACTTTCTATGAAAATAACTATTAGTTGAGTGACTTTCTGTGAAAAAAATTTATAGTTGAGTGACTTTGAGGTTATAAATGAAAGTTGAGTGACTTTCCGTGAAAACAAGTATAAGTTGAGTGACCATATGAAATATTAACTCATGAAAATTTGCTGAAACTTAATTTTGGTTAGTGTATATATTCTTTTGAAGACATAAGTGTGAAATATTCACTAATTTTTATCACGTTTCTTACAAATAAGTGATCCAATGTCTTAGAGCTTTATAAACTTTTACCAAAATTTGTTAAAGGTAAGGTTTGTGTACACTCTACCCTCCCAGACCCCACTTTGTGGGACTATACTGGGTATGTTGTTGTCAGCTGACTCTGAACTGGTTTAAATTTTATTATTGTAGTAGGGTTATCTTTTTCCCTTCACCTGGTTAGCCTGTATAGTGGTCCTACCTTGAGTACTTTCTCAAAGAAAATGCTCCTAGCATTAGTAAAATAGTGAGATGCCAAGTAGAATCCTTTTTCCCTCATAATAATTTACCCGTAGAAGTCATTGAAACAGTGAACTCTCCATCAGATGTTCCTTCACCCTTTTTCTATATATAATAATCTATATATATTCTGTCAATAAACCAAAGTGTCTGGCTGAATTTTTTTTTTCCATTTTGCAGACCCGAATGTTGACATGATTATGGCTGATGGTATTAGCAATCTCTGCAATGATCTTCAGGTGCTTTACCTCAATTGGCTGATCTGATGAGTCAAGCATTACTATTTCCATGATAAGAATTTCAAGTGAAGGTTGTTAGGTGTTGTGTATCATACACAGTGTTTTGTAGTTTGTCTTTTCAATCTTGATTTAAAACTTCCAGTTGTACACATACTGTTGTATATTTTGTTTTGTCTTCTTCTTAGATTCCTGATAATATCTTGGTGATGATGCCTGAGTAATGTAAAACTTTTTGTTTTCTTATCAGGTTGATCCTCAGGATATAGTTATGGTATGTGCAATTAGCCTCTCGTTTACTTTTCTAGTTGTCTCTCTACGTCTTTCAGAAACTTTTACCCTCCCCAGACTCCACTTTGTGGGATTTCACGGGGCATGCTGTTGTTGTTACCTCTTTCAAAGACATTTTTTGAAGGTGGGGGGAGGACTAGGAGTGATGCAAAAAGGATTTAATTGGCTGTATTTGTCTTGGGAAAGTTAATTATAGAAAAACCTCCATTGAACTCTTACTTTCAATTTGGATAACCTTTCCTGAGCTCTGAGTAACTACCAAAAAATGACCTTATGTTTCGGTAAAATTTAAGCCATACCAATGAAGTGGAGCAAGCCTTGGAGACGGGGTTTCAAATCCCAAATAGAGTCAAAAACACTAGGTGATTTCTCCCCATCTATCTAAGACTTGGTGGGCAGAATTACCTGGTGTCCGTGTTGGTGGGAGGTAGCAAGTATCCGGTGGAATAGTCGAGGTGCACGCAGGCCAACCTAAATAACACCGTTATCGAATTAAAATTAAGCCATACCAATCTGGTTGGTTCTTTTGCAGCTTGCAAAAAAATGATTTCACTTGAAAGAATATTTTTAATTCTTGTTTACCGTATACTTGATAGCTCAAAAGTTCTCAGCTGAACAACAGATACTCTTTGGCCTAAGCCTAGATTATTATAAAAACTTGTAATATAGGACTTCTTAAAAGCATATAGGGGTTGTGTGATCTTTGATTCACTTACAATTGCATTCAATTACAGTTGGTATTTTCATGGAAATTGAAAGCTGCGTCCATTTGTGAATTCTCGAAGCAGGAGTTTATTGGTGGAGTACAGTCTCTTGAGTAAGCCTAGATTAAGGCCTTTTCCCCTCAATAGTTGAATTTCTTTCACTGTGGCAACTATAATATTTTAGTGTCTAATGTCGAAATGATTAACCTGTATCCTAAATGACAGAATAGATTCAATGGAGAATTTCAAGAATAAAATCCCATTTTTGCGATCTCAGCTGAAAGATGAAGGTTTGTCCTGTCGTGGAATTCCTCATTGTTGGTCAAAGAAGTTCCATTGTTCTTTGATATTTTCTTATTTGAAATTTGAACATGGATACCATATCTTTCTTTAACTGTTAATTTTGTCTTACTACGGGAAAAGATTCCTTACCTTGACTTTCTTTGGATCTTTTTCCAGATACTTTCAGTGAAATTTACAACTTTACTTTTGATTGGGCAAAGGAGAAGGTGGGTACTTAATTACTGATCCTTCAGTACTCTTTTTCTTTCTATAGTTTTAAGGTTGAGAATACGAGTTAGCAACAAGTCAGTTGGTTGCTGCTCATTCCAAAATGGAATTCCCTTTCCAAAGCTATCCCGTGTTATAAGAACCTGTGTTTAAAAGAAAAGACCCTCACAGGACAAGGTTTCTATTGTGTCGACAGTACCAAAAAACTGTCTGCAACTCACTACAAAATAGCACCACACACAGCAAGGGAATAATGTTTGATTTTGGGTTTAATCTTAAAGTGAGGAAACCAAGATACTATGAATGGTTTCTTACTTGGGAAGTAACCTCTAGAGTCTAGAACTCACAAAAAGACCTCAAAAAAGGGGTGAAATTCATTAGACAACTGGAGCCCAGTTGTCTTTGTCTATGTTATCTGAAGTTAGAGAGTGAAGCCCTGGACCTGGCAGAGACAATAAACACTAGGTGAATCTTCCCAGCTATCCTAACCTTGGTAGACAGAGTTATTTGGTACCTCTTGCTGGGCAGGTATCCTATGGAATTATGGTCATCAAAAAAAAGAGGAAAAAGTGGAGCCCTGGATGGAATATCCAGGACTGCCTTTGTGGTGTTCGTGCAGGAGAAGTTGGAGGTGTCCAAGGTTTAGACAATGCAGTGTCCCTTTGTTAAAGCTCATTTTAGTACTCTTCAGTTATCGCTTTCTGGAGGAGTCTATGCTGCTACAATGTTTTGGTACATTTTTTGTGTGGATTTGAGATTACAAAGAGGTGAATACATGCGAATGAAATTTGCAGGTAGTCTAAAAGGGTTAGTGTTGCATGTTAATAAATTTTGCTCTTAAGTTGAACAACGGTAAAGGAGATAAAAAGGAAGGAACAGTGCTTTAGGCTGTTCTAATTGAGAAAAAGAGAATCCTAGAAACCTATATTGTGCCCAAACTATTAATTAAAAGGAAATCAGATGAACTACTAAGTCCTGTCCCGCGGGAATGACATAGTGGTTGAGGAACTGGAGTAACAACCTGGAGATCCCATGCTCGAGTTCCAATTAGAACACCTAAAGCACTGTCCTTTTCCCCCTTTATCATTGTTGAGGTCCTGGATATCCCATGTTTGAGTTCAGTTATAACACTTGGTGTGAGCCCATTCCCTCCAACTTTGTTAGATAGGATTACCTTGGCAACTGTGTTTGTGCGCTGGATAAGCTACTCGGTACATTAGTCTAGGTGCACACAAGTTGGCTCAAACATCACCATTGTAAAACAAAATAGTACTAGTCCTATACATTTGATTGCACTTGGGAACTGAAGGGAAAAATCTTGAATCAACCCCTTGGACATTTTTAAAGAAGTTTGGAGAGAAAAGACTAGTAGAAACTTTGAAGATATTGAAAATTTGCGTTCAAGGTTATTAGTTCCTTGCTATTTATTGTATATTTTTCGTGTTGCAGAAGCATCCTAGTTTGCATCTATAGTTTGGCTTGATTGATTGGCTGATATTTGTATATATTACTAAATGATACGTGTATATTAGGGCAACTGCTTTCTTGGTCTGATATCAAATAATTACCTTTAAACCATCCTAGTTTGCAGTTGGTTGCTTTTTGAAACCAGGAAGAGCTCAACAGTACAGCTTGGATAGTAATACATTTTTTAACCCTTATGCCTAGATATTAGATAAAATTTTAGGGTGACAAACGCGATGCATGTAGTTTCAGTTGTATATGTCTATCTTACTACGTTATATTTTAGGTAATGATAATTTGCTTATAGATCTCTAGTAAACATGTGCATGAATATTTCCATATAATTTTCAGGGTCAGAAAACTTTGGCCTTGGAAACAGCACTTGCATTGTGGCAGTTGCTGTTTGCAGAATTGCAGTGGCCATTGATTGATCAATGGTGTCAGTTTATCCAGGTAATTCAATGGAAAATCTTTGGGTAACCGTCTTTTAAGTTATCTATGTACAGGCAGCTGACCAAGTTTGTTAGGTTTGAAATTCGGTTTATCTGCTTAATGAAAATCACACTGTGCTGTGTTATGCTGGACGATTATTGGTTTCAATTTACTTGATGTGATCTTATGCTTGACGATTCTCCATCCCTTTTGATTTGTGTCTATCTTAATGTACACATGATTTAGCATTTACTTGGATCTTATTTCCGCGTAACAACTATAGTGTTGCAAGTGTTTTCGCTGTTATTTAGGATGCTATAACTCACCCCTGTTCTTTCTTTCTTCTTGTGGTATCGTTCTGCTACCACCTGGTTCAGGAACGGCATAACAACGCTATCTCACGTGATATTTGGTTACAGCTGCTGAAATTTGCAAAGGTAAGTTATGATTCATCACTTTAGCATATTAGCTTCCAGAGACGCCCTCTATATCCTTTTACCTCACACTTGCTCCCTTTCAAGTTTTTTATTTCAAAAGTACATTATATTGGTATCTATGACTTGTTACGCAGACTGTGGACGCGACATTATCAAACTATGATGCTGAAGGAGCTTGGCCTTGTCTTCTTGATGAATTTGTTGAATACTTGATCAAAAATGATACTTGTGATAAAAAGTCAGATGAGTGATGGGAGACAGAAATACCCATGCTGTGCTGCAGTCACTTTCTATAATATGAAATGTTATAATATGAGGCAAATATAGGACCACTTAGAATTGTAGATGAGTTTTGCGAGCTGTTAATATCATTGATGAATGAGTAAACGATTTATTCAGGTCCCGAGAAGTTAAAACAACAGTTAGCAGATGTTCATCTCGTGGTCATTGTGGACTCGTACAAATATATTGAGTAGACTGTAGATGTTGCATATTTTGCACCAAACTGTATCTGCAATACTGACATTCATCAGCAATGTTGCATATAGCACAAGTCTGATCTGTTGTGATCTCCATTAGTGACAAAATAAAGAGCCACCTATGATTATCTGGATTCAGGATTTTCACTAAAGAGGTTTAAAAATAAAAATGTAGCGTCTAAGATTTGAACTTGAAATCTCAAGGTAAATTTTGACACCTAAAATACTAAGTCGACCTTTATTCTTGTGTTTAAGGGATTTAAAATCTATATGTAAAAAAATAATAATTATAAATTACCTTACATATACAGTGTAATTTCTTGCTAAGAGGGTTTGGTTAACACATTCCCTCCCGCTACATCCGCCCTTGGCTTCACATACATATCATGAATAACCAACATCTTCATATAAAAACTGTGAAATTTGAAAATGAAAATAATAATATTTGTTTTCAAGTTAAAATGATATTAGAAAATTAGACTTGCGTATGAACATTCTATAAATTCAGTCAATATTTGTAGATTACAATAACTGTCGCACGCGTAATACACATGCACAATTTTTGTCAATGACTTTTGGACATAAAGTTGTGAAATTTGAAAAAAGAAAAAAAAAATATTGTTTTGTAGTTGAAATGTTTTTTCAAAAATTAGAGTTGTGTATGAGCATAATATAAATGGAGAAGTGCCTAAAATGCTCCTCAACTATTTGAATATGATACAAAATTATCCTTCATCCACTTTTTAGTCGCCAAATAAACCTAACGTCAATGTTTTGGATAAAAAGTACCCTCAATATTAATTCTTTGGCTCATATTTTCCCTTATTTTTAATAACTCCCTTAAAGTAAAATAATTAAATATTTATTTATTATGTTGCCTAATTTGATTGGTCCAAATTAAACCCTTTCTCTAATAAATAATAAAAACCACATATGGTTTTTATTTTGACATGGTATACTTGAAAATAATTTTCAAAATATGATTAATTACATGATATCTTTCGATTGACCTTTTTTTAAATCAACCTCAATTTTTTATAATTCAATTCATAACTGGGGATCAAGTCCATCTAAAAGAATATTATTATTATTATTATTTTAATATCAAATTTTCTATCAATTATCCAATTGTGTTTTCAAGTTAAAAATGATATTAAAAAATTAGAGTTGTGTATAAACATAGTATAAATTGAGTCAATATTAGCAGGATTACGATACTCTCTATGTGGAGCACCCAATACACGTCCAAACTTTTCTTAGCGGCGTTTGGACATAAGAAATGAAATTTGAAAGAAAGAAAAAGTATTTATTTTTTAAGTTAAAAACGAATTCGAAAATTAGAATTGTGTATGAACATAATATAAATTGAGTCAATATTAATAGGATTGTTATACTATCTATATAATGTGACACACTCTATACATCTGTACAACTTTTATAAGTGAAGTTTGGATATAAAAGTTGCAAAATTGAAAGAAAATATATTTTGTTTTCAAGTTGAAAATAATATTCAGAAATTATATTTGTGGATGAACATAATATAAATTGAGTCATTAATAGTATGATTACAATAATCTCTATGTGGCACATCTAATACAAGTGCATAACTTTTGTTAGTGGAGTTTGGACATAAAGAAATATAAAATTTGAAAGAGAAAAAATATAGTACTTGTTTTCAAGTTGATAATGCTATTTGAAAATTAAAGTTATGTATGAACATAATATAAATTGAATCAATAATCGTAGGATTACGATAAGATCTCTATGTGGGCCACGTCCAATACACATGCACATTTATTAGTTATGTTTGGAGATAAAAATTGTGATATTTGAAAAAGAAAAAAAAATAGTATTTGTTTTCAAGTTGAAAATAATATTAAAAAAATATAATTGTGTATGAACATAATATAAATTGAACTAATATTAGTAGGATTACTATACTCTCTATGTGGAACACCCTAATAAACATGCAACCTTTTTCTGGTGGCGCTTGGATATAGGAAATGTGAAATTTGAAAGGAAAAAAGTAATTGTTTTAAAAACTATTTATTTTTAAGTTTAAAATGATATTCAAAAATAGAGTTGCGTATGAACACAATATGAATTGAGTCAATATTAGTAGGATTTGATGATCTCTATGTGGCACACCCAATACACGTGAACAACTTTTATTTGTTGCGTTTGGACAGACAAATTGTGAAATTTGAAAAAGGAAAAAAGTAGGATTTATTTTCAAGTTGAAAATGATATTCAAAAATTAGAGTTGTGTATGAATATAATATAAATTGAGTCAATATTAGTAGAATTGTGATACTCTATGTGGAACATCTAATAAACGTGCAAACTTCTTCTAGTGGCATTTGGACATAAAAAACGTGAAATTTGAAAGGAAAAATTGAATTTGTTTTAAAAAGTGTTTATGTCACGATCCAGATCGTCGTGATTGACACCCACACTAACACTCCGGTGGGAGAACCACTACTACAACCCAAACCAAGCAAATAATCTAAAAACTAAAACATTTAAATCAAACACTAAGGAAATAGAAATAGAGTTCCCATAAACTCTAACAAAGTCTAACAATAATAACTAACAATGCGGAAGAATAACCTAGAACCTGAAAGTCAATGTACCAAAACATCTAACAACCAACTCTAAACAAGAAGGGATGCAACCCCAATCTAATGAACTAATCAACTAACTAGAACATAAGTCTAAGATCGAAAATGGTGGACATCGACAAAAGAGAATCACATGGCAACCCGGAAGAATTGGCTCACCCTTGAATTCGAAGCAATGATCACAATCTTCTAAGTGAGGTCTGTCAGTAGCCGATTGAAGATGCCTTGTACTCAACAAAAATAAGAGCAAGTGCAGAATCAATACATAACCACAGTGTACTGGTAGGATTACACGGCTATCCCACTAGTGCAACATAAATAAGTCAAGACAACAATATAATCACATGCATATATATCAACATATACTATATCATTAACATTTACGAACAACGACTTTTCTCCACTTTTCAAATAAGTGACTACATCCTCCTTGAACACTACACAACAACTCATCATTTCCAACTTTCTCCACTTTTCAAATAAGTGACTACACCCTCCTTGAACACTACACAATAACTCATCATTTCAAACTTTTTATACCACATCATTAGTCCTCTCATGGAACCCAAACCCAAACAGTTAGCATGTCGGAACGTGGCAACCGATCCCATATTTATGCCGGAACGTGGCAACCGATCCTATATTTATGCCGGAACGTGGCAACCGATCCTATATTTATGCCGGAACGTGGCAATCGATCCAAGTTAGTTATGCCGAAACGTGGCAACCGATCCCATTCACACACCGCAATCACAATCACAAGTATATCGATCATCAAGATCATACATTTAAGTCATGATTTCATGGTATTCATCAATTATCTATCTCATTTAGAACAAGTGTGATCAACATTGCAACATTCATACATATACAAGTATCATAATGAAACAAGAACAAACATACATCACACAATCATAAAATCACAACCATCGCCTACCTCGAACAACCTTGAAAACCTAAGAAACTTGATCCTTCCCTTTCCGGATTCGTTCCGCCTATTCTTGGTCTACAAACAATCACAATAACACAGGAATCAACAAACAATCGCTAATTACCCGAAACTATAACAATTCTATGAACCCTAGATCAAACCCATGATCCCAATCATCCCAATTACCACCATAGAATCTACATCAAAACCCTCTCCCGTCAATATTCACCCATTCTATTAAGTTTTACGGATCGAAAAATGGATTCGGGGAGTGAAAAGCTTACCTTTAGCCTCAAGAATGGTGAAAAATGAGTAGGAGTCGCCTGGGGGTTGTTCATTAGCTCAAAAAGTCAAAAAAGGCCTAATGAGGTCGTTTAGGGGTTTATTAACGACTTTAATTCGCGTCGGGCCCGCCACAGCGGTGACTCTAGAGCGGCAAAAGCCCCCGCCAAAGCGGCCAAAACGTAACAGAGAGCTATTTCAAGAATTCCAAAATTCCCATTTCACAATACACTTCTAACCCACGACGATCAGAAAATACCCTTTGCGCTAAGATCGATTTCAGGAGTTCTACTCGCCCGAATTCAATTCCGTAAAGTCGTACGAATCCCTTAGCGAGTTATCTAACTACTCATGTAATCAAAATCATAAATGATTCATCTGATTGTTACCAGATTTTCCTACACCCCAAAGACTTCGATTTCATCCAAATCTGGACAAGGTTGGGAAAATCCAAATACTATGAAAAAGTTTTCTGGCCACAAATTTTTCCTCGTTAGATTTTCTATAACGACGGGAACAAGTTGTTACAATTTATTTTCAAGTTGAAAATAATATTTAAAAATTAGAGTCGTATATAAACACAATATAAATTGAGTCAATATTAGTAGGATTATGATAATTTCTATGTATTTTCAAGAGTTATTTCAGTGAAGTTTAAGGGAAGAGAATCAAACTTTGTTAAACGGTTTCATAAAATGACCATCATTAGTAGGAAATGACCTTCTTGTAGTAAGTCCCTTATTATGAGGCGAAAATAGGATTATAAAAGTAAAAGAAATTAAAGATAACTTGATTGTTTGGTACATGAAGAACATATGACACTTGCCAAAAATTTACTTGGTTAAGAGTATCGGATTTATTTATTTATTTATTAATTATTCACTTACTGAAAATAAAGGAAGTCCTTTTAAATTTAAACTTGATTTTGGTTCGTACAAATTTTGTGTTGTCATCTTCATACAAATATGAGCTAACCTATTTTTATTAC